CCTGGGAAGCGCATGGCGGGCGGGGGGGGCGCGGCGCGAGTCCGTGCAGCCTCGGGCCAGCCCTGCCCAGGAAAGCGCGCGCCCGCGAGGCGGGGGTGGGGGATCCCGCCCCGCGGGCGCGCGCGTTCCTGGGCCCGGGACCCGGCCGGAAGCGCTTCGGAGGTGCCGGGGGCGAGGGAGATCGGGGCCGCCGTCGGCGCAGCGAGCCCCGATCCGCGGAAGGCTTGGGTGGGGGTCTTCCTTCCCTGAAGCAGGAGGGGCGCTCTGGCCATGGTCGGAGGTGCCCTTCCCACCCCCGCCCCGGGCCCGGGAAGGAGCGCTCCTGCTGCCTGCCTTGGAATGGCGGGGGGCGGCGTCGGAGGCCGCCCCCGCCCGCTTGCTGCGTCGGGAGGGGAAAGCCGGCTTGGCGCCGGCACGGGAAGAAGGCGCGGGGCCCCCGCTTCCTTTCCTGTTAAATTTGGGGCGTCCCACACCTGCCTTTCGGGGCGCTTGTATTTGCGGGCCCCGCGCACTCCGGGGGGGTCACTCCCGCGGCAACGGGGCTCTTTCTTGGATAACTGCTTGGATGGGTGTCGTGGCAAGCGGGGGCCTTTGCTGGCCAGGGCGAATTGTCTGTGCTGTGGGCGAATTGCACCGAGATCCTGTGACAATATTGCCTTTTTACAGCGCGAAGTGCTTGGAGAGCTTTGGGGGTGGGATGACCCAGAAGCCGCAGCGCCGAGAACAAAAGCGAAATGCACTGGGCTACAAGCCCAGGCTCTAGTTTGCCATGCCCGGCCCTTCATCCAGGAGCACGTAAGCGAAACAAGAGCCCCGTGGGACACGCGCAGAGTAGACGTCCTGACAGGCGTTGTGGGGGCAGGAGGGGAAGCTGCCCCGGCACCATCTCTTCTGCCAGTTCCCTTTCTCACATTCACGGTTCTTGGCACTGGTGCCTGCGCGCTCCGTTCAGCCCTTGCTTTGGTTCAAAGGTCGAAAGCTCGGGCCGCAGAGTGCGGATCCGAATTCGAATCCACTCCTCGGGCAAAGAGCTCCTCCGAGGCCTTGGCGGTTTATGTCCCTTGCCTTCAGTGACCCACAGCGTCGGGGACGGACTGTTTTGCTCATCCAAGAAGGGGGGAGAAAATCTCTCCACTTAAACAAGGAGCAGAGCAGTTTGCGGGGACAGTTCTGGCGTCCCGTGACCTCCCTCAAGCGCCCAGGTGACCTGCTGCGGGGCAGCGGGAAGGTGCGGCGGCCGCTTTTCCGCTTTTGCCGCAACTCCCGATCAAAGCCCCCTTCCTGGCTCGCCGCTCACGGGTTAAGAAAGAAAAGCGTCTTTGGGAAACTCGACACTGATGCAATCGAAGCGTCTTGTGCTGAAACTGCACTTCCTCGCAGTCCGGTTTTCGGGGAGCGTGTGTGCTGGACGGACAATTTTTCGGAGGCTGACTCACGCGTCCTCAGCCGCTCTGAGCTCCTTGCAAAGCTGGCGAGGCTTTTAGGATGACAACAGCCCTCGTGTGACTCAGTCACATGAGGTGCGTCGCAATTGAAAGGTTGTGCGCTGTGTTTGGAACACGTCCTGCTCAGCTCCCAGGGCAAAGGAGCCATTGCCTGGCCCGTCACTAAGGGGAAAGGTCTTACGACCAAGAAACTCAGGCTGCTGTACCAGCCTAACCCTAACCCTAAACTAATTTGGTTTCAGCTCCCAAAGGGGCCCAGCTTCCCAAGCCCTGTGCGCTTCGCCTGTTTCGCACTACGGCTCCCAGCATCCAGTTGGAGGGGGCTGCCTGAAAGAGTGATTAGATCAATTCCAAGGACCATCCCAAAATGGCAGATGGGAGGCATGAACCCTCAGCCAACAAGAAGTCCGGTGTAGCCCAATTTCGCGGCCGGCCCAGAGCCACGGGCCTAGTCCAAGGCTGAGGCTAGGCTTGAGCTCAGGCCTGCTCCATATTTCCACAACTGTCCCCACCATCCCAGCCCAGCGGGAAATGAAGGGAAAGCTGGGCGGCCATATTAGCCCCGCTGAGATGGCTTCGCTCCCCCTCTACTCTCCACGTCCCTTTTTCCTTATGGGACACGTATGTGAGCTTGCAAGCGGGGGCTCAGCTCGCTGAACCAGGAGTTGCAAAGCCCCTGGAAACCTTTCCAAGGAAGAAGGCGAGAAAAAGGCCAAGTATTTAACTAAATGCACGTTCCCCTTCCACTTCTTTGCCTCAGCAGATTCGGCTACGGCCAGCTCGTGTTCTGTGTGATTTCCACAACGCTCCCGGTGGAACAGGCACCATGGTCGCTCCGTCCCACGTGCTGAGCTCGCGGAGCCCAAATTTCAGCGACTGCCCCAACGGCTCCGAGTGGGTCAAGGCGGTCTTGCACGAGTGTGCCCAGGACGGCTGGGACATGGCCAGCGTGGTGCTCGGCCTGGTCTCGATCCTCTGCTTTGCCGGTGCTTCTTTCCCGTGAGTCGGCGGCCGATTCCTCCCTGGGTGACGGGGGTGTCCGAGGGGAGGCCACGGCTTCCTGGCCGCCCCCGGGAGTGGGAAAGCCCCGGAGGGCAGTTCGGGTGCTGGTTCTCCGGTGCCAACATGTCAAGCGGCAGAATTTGGAGAAGTGAGTCACTTCTGGCTCATGGGGCACAGTGGTTCCCCTTCCCGCCACATCTCACACACACACACACACACACACACACACACACACAGTGAGCGAGCGAGCGAGCGAGCGCTGTGAAGGCGTGGGTACCACCTTGGAAAAAGCAGGCCACGGCCAGACTGGCAGTAGCCAGCGTGGCAAATGCGGGAGGGAGCTGGTAGGCAAAACATCTGGAGAGCCCTGAGCTGACGGAAACCCGTGTCAGGACTGTCCCATGTCTGAATGCAGGCGTGATTAAACGCATCACACTTGAAGGCACTGCACGTCTTGGGAAAACCCCATTCCAGGATGGGCTTAGGCAACCTGGGCCTGCCGTTGGGATTCGAACGCACATCATCCCCTGCCAGCCAGGCCCATAGGCATGTAGATCTGTTCTCCAAGGAAAAATGGAAAAGCTGGGCAGGGCAGGGAGAGGGACTGGTCGCCTGGAGAGAATGTGCTCACCACAGGTGACCAGGCCAGGGTGGACTGTCAGGCTTGCTCTGAACTGCCTCTTTCCCACAGCCAATTCTACCTGGCCTGTAAAACGGGGATTATGGACCAGGCGCTGTCGATCTACTTCCTCCTAGGCTGGCTGGGAGGGGACTCGCTCAACCTGATCGGATCCTTCCTGGCCGACCAGCTGCCCCTGCAGGTAAGGCGCGAAGGCGAGCCCGCTGCCCCGTGTGGGTCTTGGGCGAGCCGGCGGCCATTTCTCCCTGCTCCTCCTCCCCCCGCAGGTGTACACGGCCATCTATTACGTCCTGGCGGACCTGCTTATGATCACTCTCTACCTCTACTACAAAGTCAAGAACAGGGAACGGAGACGTAAGCCCAAGGCCTTCGTTGGGCGGGTGGGGGGCAGGGAGGGTCACCGCTGATTTTTAATCGCGGGCATGACCCCCTGGACGGGGACCGGAAAGCTCGACAGATCCGTTTCACCTTCTCCCCCTTCCCCCTGCAGTCTCGGTGTCCATTAACGCTTCCTTTGTGTTCGTTCTCGTGGGAACGGTGTCGGTGACGTCCTTCCTCGTGGCACCCGCCGCTCGTCTCAGCCACGAAGCCACGGTGGTCAAGGGGAGAGCCCTTCTCTCCCTGGCAGACAGCCAGCCTGGGTGGGAGGTGAGTCCCCCTCTTTGGGGCGTCCGACGTCGTTCGGCTCCAGGTCCCAGTTCCAACTGGGAGAGCCTGGGGAGGCCAAAGGCCGGAGAGGGGCAAAAAGGCCGCACGGTTCAAACCCCAACCGAAGCGCTTCTGGTTCGCCGTCCCGCCCTCCCAAGGAAGTCATATTTTCAGCCTTTATTGTGGGAGAAGCGGCATTAGAAGCCGAGAAATCCGCTGACGATCAGCGGGTATGGGAACGGAGGCCTGGACGCCGCGGTGCACCCTACTTTCGAAGGAGAGGGGCGGGGGCCACTTTTGGACGAACCCATTTGGGCTTGCTGCAGACACCAAAGCTGGGCCAGGCTCAGTGGTCAGGCCCGTCCCAGGACGGCTTTGCATCGCTCGCCTCGGCAGAGAACGGCACGGAGCGCGTCTTCCCGCGTGCGCAGCTCTCGGGTGCGAGTGCAGGTCCTTTTCTCTCTTGTGGAAGGACCCCATTTCGCAGAAATGCAGTTCCTTCCCGCAGGGCGAGACCGGGGGCCACCTGCACACGCTCGTGGATCGCAGTATTCTGGGCATCTGGTGGTGGGAAGCGGGGCAGCGTCCCCGGGAACGCGGCCTGCTTGGCCGGCCGCTGCCCCGCAGGGGGACTCCGTGCGACCGAATTCACTGGGCATCCCTCGTGCTGCAACTCTGCAGTCTCCTCGGTTTGGGGAAATGCTGGGCCGGTGAGGATTCCTCAGAAGAGCATTCGATGGTTGTGGCTCCGTTTTGCTGTACCGTTGTGAGCCAGCCGTGCCCAAAACACATCCTCCCTTTGCGCCCCGTCTTCTCTTCACTCCGTCCTCTTCCGGGATCCCACGGCCTCTTTCCGCCCGGCGTTCCTTCAACCATCCGCTTCTCCCACAGCCCTTCAGCAGGAAAGAAATCATCGGCTTTGTGATCGGCTCTGTTTCGGCGCTGCTCTACCTCCTTTCCCGGGTGCCGCAGATATACACGAACGTAAGGCTTGCTTGGGTGGGAGGGCGGCGTCGCGTGCCAAGCGCCACACCTGCTCCTGGGTTTCCACGTAACGTTGCGACGGTTCACCTTTGCAGTTCAAGAGGAAATCAACCACAGGCATCTCGTATTCCCTCTTCGCTCTGGTGATGCTTGGGAACCTGCTGTACGGAGCCAGCGTCTTACTGAAAAACCCGGAGCAGGGCCACACGAGAGGCAGCTACATCATCCATCACCTCCCTTGGCTGATCGGCAGCTTGGGAGTTTTGTCGCTTGACGTGCTGGTATCCTTCTCGTTCCGCTTTTCTGTGGTGAGACTCGCAGGGCCGTGCGTTGTTCCTCAGTTTTTTTAAGTGCTGAATTTCCATGCCACATGCAGGAGAATCTCGCAGCTGTTGCAGCGGGATTGGAGCCGGAGATGCTTGTCCGGGGAGGCCCTGGATCAGGGACCGAGTAGGGCAAAGGGTGATGTTGGGCCCGAATGACCTCCCAGACTCTTAGGGTAAGAGGGAGCGGCAGGGGGAGCAGTTTCTGCTGCTGGAGCTCCTTCAAGGAAAGAGACGCTATTTAGAGTGTCAATTATACAAATGAATATCGTCTTGGTTTTTAAGAAATGCTCCCTGGAACTCTCACATCAGCCTTCTAAGGTGGGACAGTGGGAGCTCATCAGCATTCCTGGGACGGGTTCAGCCATGCCTCCCTCCAGGAGGCGCCATTCTGATTCTCCCCCAAGCCATTCCCCTTTCCAGCTGATACGGTTCTAACTCGGTATCCTCCCCATTGCGCCTGGGGGTTCCTGAAGGCTATGCTGCTGCCTTTTCTCACGGCCCTGTGCCGGTCGCATTCCCGGGAGCTCTCATGCCCCGAGTCTGGTATTAGAGGAATCATATCGAATTGTCTCATTCTGGGCCTGCCCAGTAGCTGAGGCTTTCTGGGAGGCTAACAAGTCATAAAATGTAAGACCCAAGACGGAGACAGCAAAAATACAGCGCCCAAGTCACTGCAAAATGTAAAGCAATTTAAGCACTGTGCTTGATTGCTCTCTTCGAAGCCTGAACTAGCCAAGTCCTTAAATGCTGCCCTGCTGAATGAGAAACCGGCCCTCCCAGTTACGCAACAGACCTTAACTCCTCCATCAAGATTTCCTTCCAGTTTCTCGCTTACCGTCGGAAGCAGACGCCGGCACTGGAAGAGAGAGACCCACTGCTCAGCAGAACGGAGGACCCTCTTGTGAGCTGATCTCGAGCAAACGGACGGCGGCACCAACCAAAGAGCACTGCCTGGATCGTCCTGGTGGCTTTGGAGAGAAACTGCCCCGATTTTCCTGTGGAACAGACCTGGCTCCGAGGCAGATGGTCTCAACGGACAGAGCTTTTATTTAAAATGGGGCTGGAGGCAGGAGAAAGGAAGCCGACAAAATCCAAGCTGATGTGACCTTTCCGGACTGGAATGGAAGGCGGTTGTCTCCACCTTCCCAGTGAAACGGGAGCGTGCAATTCTCCTCCGGGAGTCAAATGGGAATTCCTACCGATCACCGATTCAGCTCCCTCTTTGTAATGGCATTTTACCTCCCTTCACCCATCAAGCTGCTGCTTTACTTCTTCAAGGCCAGTTGTTGAAGGGGGAAATAACCCCCCCCCCGTTCTTGCACATGTAGTAACCTTTGTAATGGGCTTGTCCAGCCTAACAGGGTGCAGGGGAAAATAAACCCCTTTACCGAACGCCCCCGTATCTTTCTTTTCCTCCCCCCTTTCCCCTGCAGTCCCATTTGAACTTCTTTCAGTGTGGGTTTTTAAAAATCCTTTTAAAACCCCTTCTGGCTTCACAAGGCTATGCCTGCCGAAGGTGCGAGGAGGAGGAGGTGGTCTTTGTCGGTCCAACGAAAGGGATGCACCCTGCAGAACGTGGGGACATTCACAGGGCCTGCAAGCAGAGCTTTTGTCTAGCGAGCCTCGTGCGTCCCCCCTCAAAAGCCGCTTAAAATCCCACGAGGCCGAGAGTCATCCTGGGCGTCAGTGGGAGACTCGCCCGCCCTTCTTCCTAGGGCTGCGGAGCCATCGGGCCCGGCTCCTCCTCCCTGTGCAACCGTCCAGCTCCCACTGACCGGCAGCCCTTGCCGGTGCTGTGGTGGTCAGTCCACTGTGAAGCCTGCGCTTTCCCCTCTTCGTCTTTACGAGATCTTTGCTCAGAACAGTCGGACCTCCTCGCACGTGAGCTCAGAAAGGAACTGCAGAGTACAAAGCTCCCGTTTGCAGGGACTCTGCTGTGCAACCCTTTACAAAACATACCATCCTCATTTCCACTGCAAAGTGCTTCCTTTGAGGCAGCTCAGCTCCGAAAAGCCACTAGGCCTGGCTTGAGCAAACGCCTCCATTCGGCATTTTCGAGGGGCTCCTTCTGGCTGCGGCCACGCCTGCAGGGATCAAAATACCCATGAAGTAGCTCAGAGCTCTTCCTGCCGGTAACAAACCCCGAGCACCATCCTGAAGTTTCAGGATCCACGAGGGGCCGACCTGGCTCACCGGCCAGAGGCGGAGGCCCCAGCCGAGCAGCACACGACATCTTGCCACCACCAGCCCGTCACGTGGGACAATAACTGCGGACGGCCAGACACAGTTTTCCTTTTTTTGCAGTTTATTATTTTTTTTTTCATTTTAAGTATGGAGGCTCAAGTATAAGATGTTGATTTGATTTTTAAGCATTACAAATTTTTAAAAAAACAAAAAAGCCAACCAAAAATAAACGGTCTTCTTGCATTCCAAAGAAACCGAAAGAGGGAAAGCGGGGGGCAGCGCCTCGATTTCCCGACTGAAAGCAGAACTAGGAAAACTTCTCATAGGGCAGAGTGGGTGGGGGCAGCCTCCAGCATCTGTGCTCAGCTGCCCCCCCACACACACACACCGAACATGTTCTCCAGAATTACTTTTTCCCTCTTTCACACACCACAGAATTTCATAAACTTTTGTTGTTTTACATCTTTTTTACACCAATGTAACAAAAAATGGGGAAAGGGCAGAGTTTAATGAACTGGGTGCAGGTAGCAGGAAACGGAACAGAATTATGTGGAGGCCTTACGGATATTACTGTGAGGGCAGAAAAAGAAAAGGGGGGCACGGACACCCCCCCCCCCCGCACCAGCCCGGTGCTTTCTCTATGGAGCTGCTCTGCGCGTTTTTGAGGATGAGATGGTGCAAATCAAGCGGCAAGAGACCAAAAAAAGTTTATACAGCTTTATTCGTCGGTGGCGGGGCTGGGGGGGCGCAGGGGGGGAACTGAGGCGGCGCTGGAAAGAGTATCGTACATGGGGAGTGACGGAAAAAAAATCCAGTGGCGGGCGGGAGGGTGCGAGGAAGAGAGAGAAAAAAATGTTTTCTAAGAAAAGGAATCTAATGAGTGCATGGCCTGTCTCGTTAGCATTGTCAATGGAGTACTTGTGTGTTTTAACTTTGCTGCTTTCTCTTCAAAGCCTCCACCAGGTCGTTCTTAAGCGCTTCTTGCTTTGATTTGTCCGCGAACGTCTGCACAGACCTGGGGGGAGAAAGGCGGCGCAGGGTTAGCCCAGAAGGCGGCTGCCGGGGACCGAAGCGGAGGGAGGCCTGGTGTCCTGGGTCTGCGCTGGAGGGAGGCAGGAAAAGCGGCCGGGGCGGACGACGCGCTCTGGGCCGCCATGGGTCCGCGCCGGGGACCGGAGGCCCCCACACCCCGACCCCGACCCGGGTGGGGCCGCAGCGGACACGCCACGGCCCTCCGCAGCCGGCATGCCTCTTTCCGCCTCTGGTTCGAGTGCGGAGCGCCTTGCAGGAGTCGGGGCAGGAGAAGCCCGGCCGAGGAGCCGCGCAGGGAGCGTGTCCCGGGGCCCCGGCGTCACCGCCTGGCCCAGTTCATTTCCCTGCTGCTTCCGTGTTCAGCCCGGGCTGGCGGCTTGCTACAAAGCCCTTTCTGTCCTCCGACTCGCCCCCCCGCCCCGCATTTGGGGTCCAACGGACACCTTTGTGGTTTGGGGCGCACGCCCCCTTCCTCGGGGGCCAGGTCCCCCTCCGGTCCTCTGTAAGCGGAGCGCTTTGTGACCGGTCACGGCGGTCTTTTGATGTGGTGAGCGTGCCCACGACACCATTTCAAAATTGTGCCTGCCAGCCCAAAACGGGTGGCTCCAGCAGGTTTTCCCCCTGCCTCACCCGCAATTTCACAAGGGGGCAGGTGCCAGGCCTTCCGCCAGCACCGCCATCGGAGAGCTGCCTCTAGAAAATGGCAGCGGGGAGAGTTGTCCAATTGCTTTCTTATCCTGGAGTGAAATTCTGCACACACCCAAGGAAAAAGCCAGGATCAAAGTGCTGGATGCGGAAATGGGGGTCTCAAGGCATCTCAGAGCACATTCAGCTTTTCATGCATGTTTCTGGTCCTCATGGCCGCCGAAGTGCACTCGAGCATTTGGGAGCAAAACTTGCCGAAATTCCAGGAGAGATACTTCAGGGAGATGGGCTGTTAGCGGCCCGTTTGGCTCCTTCCCCACTCACAAGACAAAGGAAGGGTCTGATCCCAACCCTTTCGAGGCAGCAAATGTTCCTACGACTCCCAGCATTCCCCTGCCCAGCAGGATTTGGGGTGGGCGGGTGCCGGTTGAGCGGAGCTTCCACATGGCGCGCACACAGCCCCCGTCGCTGGCCGTGCTTTCTTGTCTCCCCAGTGCACAAACGGGCAACAAAACCCCACACGCATCATGTACAACAGGTCAAGCGTAAGGAACTCCAAACTGTGAGCAAGACGAGCAAAACACAAGGTCTGGGAGGAGGCAGAGCGCGCCCTGCTTTAGCTGTTTTAGGAAAACGGGATCAGTAGCTTGCCAACGTTAGGGGTTAGTTTGTGTCAGACGGAGTCAGACATGCAGAGGAAGAAAAGCCACTGGTCTCTCGGGCAGGTAAGTGTCGTTATGGTGCCAGGTGGTGCAACCTGCAGGCCAATTTTGGCGGGGGGGGGGGGTACCTGGGCCGGCTTAGTTGTCCGGCTGAATGTACATCTGGCGTTGGGTCAAGACTTGGGAGAGTTCTCTCTGCAACTGTTTATATTTTTGGTTGTCAGGAATTGCATCGACAGATCTAGAGAGAGAGAAAGCAGGGGCGGAAACGGAAGAGGAGAGGAGAGGAGAGAACAGGTCAGATGAGAAGGTGCAAAAGCAGGACTCCGGGAGTTGCTGAGTTGGCAGGTGTGGACGCGGCAGGTGGGGAGACGGCGAGTGGGCCGGGGGGAGCTGGGCAGCCGCGCTGTTCCTGGCGCCACTCAGAAATCCGCTGACCATGGCCAGGAAGGCAGGCCGCTGGGTCACGCAGGGCACTTCCGCTGCAAGGAGCTGCCCTGCGCTCCCCTGAAGCTCGCTGCCGGCTCTGCGACGTGCCTTCGTGGCCCCTGCAGCGGAATTCAGCTGGGAGAGGGCGAGAAATAAGCCGGAACAGAACGTGACGGACCAGCCCCGCTCCTGCATGGGAGGGCCACTGAAAAAGGCCTGTGGCAGCGTGGGACACGGGCAGGCGAGGACCGAGCCTCTGAGGGAACAGTGTGCCCCCTCACCTATCTCCAGGGCGGATTTACACACAGGGCGAAAGGCCCCAAGGGAAGGCAAATGGCTTAAGAACAGAGGAGGTCGGAGGAGAGAAGGAAGGAAGGAAAAGTGGGGGAGGGAGGAGCAGCCCCACGCGCGATTGCCCGTTACCTCAGCCCGTTGACAATGTCCTTTGTTTTTCCAAAATAAATCTCGTTCAGTGTACTTCTGATTTTATTCTCCATGTCCTAGAAGGGGGCGGGGGGGGAGGGAGAGGAATCACATTTCGGATTCGGTCGCATGGCGAAACCCAGCATCTCTTACAACAGCTGAGGAAAAGGCAGGGGGGATACGATCCTAAAAAGACCCCAAGCTGGGCATGCACTGTGACTTTCTGTGGCCGAACAGCCACAGACCCAAATATTCAGTCTTGTATCGCTGGGGATATTTAAAATCAGGGGGCCCGATGCAACGGCGTTCCCCGCAGCTGGGCGAGCGCCAGACGTGGATACGGGAAGGGGCCGTTCCAGGTCGGCCCAGCAGAGGGCAGCACGTGCCCACGGAACCCGCCCCTCTTCCACGCAGAGTCCAAACCCATCTGGCGGAGGCGGCTGGGTTCGGCACCCCCCAAATCCCCACAACCCGCCATCCCAGCCCCTCACGGCCCATGTGCAGAGCGCCTCCTGGGGAGCGAGGCCGCCTGCCGCTGCCTCACACGCCCAGCCAGACCTACCTCCACCAAGCGGCCGATGTTGGCTATGTGCGGGGAAGAGTCGCTCACCGTCTCGTCTTTTTCCATCTGCAGGGGGAGAGAAAAGGGGGCTCGGAGTGCATGGGAACGGCGCACAGCGGGGTCTCCATGGCCAGCGGGGTGCACGGGCAGCCTCGGTCCCGGCCCGGCCCCTGGCCACCGGGGGACCGGAAGCATCGTTGCCTGGGGCGCCCTGGCTGCAGCTCGGCCGACACCAGCCACAAGCCGGGCAGCCCAGGCACGGCCGGTCCACGGCGGGGTGCAGGGCTGGCCCGGCGGCTCGAACGGGCCGGGGACTCACCGAGGCGGCTTTCCCCGGCACCCCTAGCTGGCCCAGGTCTTCTCCACTGCTCTTTTAAGGGAAAGGTGCCAGAGGAGTCCATCATGGGAACACAACGCAGGCCGAAGTGTGACCTGCCCAGGGCTCGACCACGGCTGGCCTCTGGAGACCGGCAAGTGGGGAGTGGGCTTTCCGGGACCCTCGGCTACCCTCTCGGGAAACGGGAGCGCCTGGCTGAGGCAGCGTCTGCCCGACACCTGCAGAGCCACCGCCGCCAGCCAGGGCCGATCACGCTGGGCTGGAGCACAAGGAAGGCAGCTTGCTGTGCCCCCGAAGGTCACAGGGTTAACTCCCGCCATCCCAGAAATGTGCGGTTTGAGCCCCCCGGAAGAAGGGGGCCGCAACGAGGCGGGCTCGCCCCCCTTGTGACCCCGCTGGGGCTTGCCTCCCCTGCTGGGCAGGTGCCCCCCCCAGCTGCCCCACCGTCTGAGGCAAGCACTGGCCTGAGGCACTCTTAAGGCGGAGTGGGAGGAATTTTGGGGGGGGGGGTTGAGCGTGAGGCGGGGGCCAAGAATTCTCTGCCTGCTCAGCAGGCAGCCGCCTTGTGCCCCCGTTCTCCGTCAGCCTCAGGAAGCGCTTTGTTCCACCCCATCTCGGCACCCGGAACTCCGTGGCACCCGAGGCCCCTCGCAAGGGCTCCCTGTTTTGTCCTCATGACAACCCTGCGAGGTAGGGCAGGCCATGAGCCTGAGACTGGCCCCAAGTCGGCCTCCCCTGCAGGAATGGCCCAGCTCGGCCCCCCTTCGAGGCTCGGGCCTGCAGCGGGATGCGGGGGGCCGCGCCTGGCCCTCCGTGCCGTCGGGCATGGGCCCCGCTCAGTGCGTCGCAGCTCACGCCGCCTCGCCCTCCCGCCCCTCGCGGCCTGGGGGCCCGGAAGGCGGCGCATGCGTGCGCGCGGGGAGGCCTACCTGTCTGGTGAGGCTGCCGCCGAGGTTCATCGTGCCCGAGCCGGCTTTGTTCGTCTGCAGCCACAGCATCACTGTAGAGGTCAGCTTGTAATGAGCGGTGCGGCCACTGGACTTCTCCTGGGGGGGCAGGAGCGGCCCAGGGGGTGAATGTGCCAGAGGGGCGCAGCTCGCAAGGCTGGCCGCCCCCCGCCCGCCCCCCGTGCCCCCGCCAGCACCCCGCCCGGCCCCGGCAGACGTGCCGCTCTCTGGGGGCGGGGGCTCACCGAGCACAGAGCGCCCTCAGGGCACACGCCAACATCACCCCGTGGGTTGCGCCCACTTCACAAACGGGGGCCTGCTAGCGTGGCTGGGTTCACACAGCAGAGCACCCCAGGGTTCGGCAGCAGCCCCCGCTCTGGCTTGCCGTGTGCTGTGAACCGGCCTCTCGGCTCCACCGCCTCCCTCGCCCAGCGGGCTCCCGGCTGTCCCCTCGGCAGGTTTTCCCAGGGCTGTCCCTTCGCCCGGATTTCCCCAAACCGACGCGCTCCAGGCCCGTTGGAGACAGCGGCCGGGTGGAGGCGGGAGCTGCACCGAGTGTGTCTGGACGGGTGCCGAGCACTCCTGGAGGTGCATCGGCCGGAAGAGGGCCTGTAACACCTACACGGGCCACAGACGGACCCAAGGAACCCTGCCCTGAACCCTAACCCTAACCCCCGGCACCCAGGGTCCATCCCTTGGGACAGGCAGGTCCTCTTCCCCTGGGGCCGGGCCCCCATCGGGGCTGGCTCCCCAACAGACGCACCAGGCACGTTCGGACCCCGACACCCTTCGCTCGCTTTCCTGCTTGTTTCGTCCCACAATCACTTACACGCCCCTTTCAGGATGCAAACCCTGCCATGCAAGGAGCAGGCCAGGCACGAAACAACGGCAGGACCTGATCGGCTGTGACAGGCAGGTGGGCCTGGCGGCCCGGCCTGCACGAAGCCGGGTCAGGCATTCACCTGGGCAGCAGGAGAGGACGCCGCCATGTTCAAGCCTTGGAGGAATAGTTTAGTGACCCCGCTGAGCTATTTTTCCCCTGCTTCGGGGGAGCTTTCCAAATTAACGGGAGGAAGTTGCCGGGGGAGGGGGGTGTCGGAGGGGGCGGGAGTGAAGTTTATGAGCCTGACACAATATTGCATTGTTCCCCCAAGCACCTGCGCTCATTAGCTGGCTGGAATTTAACTAGGCCATTCCTTTGCTGCTCAGAAGTCATCAGCTGCCCCCTGGAGAGGGACGGACGGACAGACGGACACCAGGACATACCTGAACTTCCACCACATGGATGGAATCCCAGCACCCTTTAATCTTCTTTGATCCATCGCCAGCTTTCTTAATTAGAATCACGCCAGCAAATCCGTGATCGAGATCCCAGAGGTAGACGGAGGAAACGCCCCCTTCGAAGTACCTGCAGCCGGAACAAACGCGGAGAGGCCACCGATCAGCCCATGGGGCTCCGTGGAAGAAGGACCCGTGAGCTGGGCAGAGGCGCCTTCGGAGCAGCGGGACTGAACTAGGGGCGGCGGGCAGTTCCTGGGAGTGCAGGGTGCCCCGGCGATCAGCCGCCGCCGCCTCCCTTGCCGACCCGCCTGGCGGCTCTCACGGACGTGACCCAAGTCCACCCTCTGGAGCAGGCGGGCCCCTTCACTGCTGTTGGCACCCGCCCAGGACATCGTCGTTTGGGGACCCCTTCCAGAACTAGCCTGCCCAATTTTTATCGCTTGTTTTAACATGGCATTTTATTCCTTTTCTCTGATGGTACAGCACCCTCCGCATGGCGCTGCCAAACCTCCAGACGAGTGGGGAGGGCATCCCCCCAGCCAGCCACAGCCAGCTGTGCCCCGAGGGACCCCGGCGGGGACGGCCGCACCGAGTCCTTCGGCAGCCACAGTTTCAAGATCCTACCCCGTCCACGCTGTGCCGCCTGGGGCCCAGCTCACCCGTGCTGGGGAGTTTTAAAGCACCCGCTGCAGCCCCAAGCCGTTTAACTTTTTCAAGTAAACAAAAAATTTTATTCTCCAAGAATGCCAAGGAGGTCCAAATGCTCCCCTTTCTCTTGGACGCTGTTGCCCTGCGTTCGGCCTCACCAGTCGAGCTGGCCTGAAACGCCCCAGAGCCGCCGCTGCTGGCCCCTCTGGACAATACCAGGCTGGACAGACCAAGGGCGTTTCCGTTCCCATTTGCATGCGCTCAACAACCCTGTGAGGAAGGCCAGGCAGAAGGCCGGCGAGTGGCCCAAAGTCCACAGAGAGCATCGCAGCCGAGCGGGAACTTGAACCCAGGTCTCCAACACAGGCAATTTCAGCGCACTGCTTCAGGGAAGCAGCAGCAAAGGAGGGCCTTAGGTTCCCTGGAGCGTGTGGGGCAAGGCTGAGCCAGCGGGACAAATGCCTCAAAGGCCACCGGGACTCCCTGTAGCTCAGAAAGATGCAATTCCCCCGAGGAAGGGCTGCCTCAAGCTTATGCAACCCCCATTGACTCCAATTAAGGGCAACAAGCTGTTAAAAGGCATGCTGGAACCATGGCCGAAACCTAAAACCTGCGTTTTACAGCTCGGCTCCCTCCCACAGCCCCATCTCTCTCATCGCTGCGCAAGAGTGTGGCTGGACGGCGGCCTCCAAGCCGTTTTGCAGCGAGATGGCCTAATTAAGACTAAAGGGAGCGGAGGCACGCGGCGGCGGGCTGGTTCTGCAGGAGAGGGAATGCTGATTTACTGCAGGCTGCGAGCGAGCCAAGAGCCGAGCGTCCGCCAGAGAGGGGTCCCAGGGCTCGCGCTAAGCGTTCCCCCACCTGGTCTCTGGCCGCCGCCGCAGCAGCAGCACCAGCGGCGTTGCAGCAGAGCGCCGGTTCGAAAAGGCAAGGGGGCACCTCCCACCGGCCTGCGAAGGATCACCCTCCGCCTGGGCGACACACGCGCTGCGACGCTTGACTTGCGGGGCCGCCGCCGCTCCTGCTCTTCTGCCGAGCTCAGGGGAGGACTCCTCTCTGGGGAGCCCCGCCACCCCTCGCCGCGCGCAGCAGCCCCAGTGCCATGGGGAGGCCCGGCGAGGCGGGCTCGCAGGCGCCCCGGCGGCCCCCGTCCACGCGAGAGCAGGCTGCACCCCGCCCAGGGCCCTGCAGATGCTCAGGACAGCAAGCCCCATCGTCCCGAGCCAGCGTGTCCGAAGACCTGGGGGCAGCAAGCGCCACACTGCTTTTTCAGTTGTCACGGAGGAAGAACGGGAATGTCTGTAAAGGTGGCCAGAGGTGGAGCCCAATGTTGATGCAACCAGAGACCCACCAAAACCAGGAGCCCCCCATCCTGAGGGAGAGCCCGGTCCGCCTGGCCCCTCCTGGAAGCGCCCGCAAGGACCCTCCTCAGCCACGCCAAAGGACCTCAGTCCTCCTGCAAGCAAAGCAGGGGTTCAAGCGCTCAGCTGCGACCTTTCCCCTGCCATCAAAAGCAAGCCTCTAGTCCTTATGGTTCTGAACAGAGGGCTGGTTTTAACACAAGAAGCTGCCTTGTTCTGAGCCACCTCTTGGCCCACCTGGCGCAGCGCTGTCTGCAGGGACCGGCGGCAGCTCTGCAGGGCACCCTTCCCAAGCCTACCTGGAGATCCCGGGGATCAAACGGGGGACTTGGGTGCAAAGCAGGGGCTCTGCCTGCAAGCTGCCACTCAGAAGGCAGCAGGTAGGAGCCCCAACCATGACCGTATTTCCAGGCTAACAGTTCCGTGCCAAAGAACCCAGCCTGCTCCCCTTTTCGAACGCAAAGCACCCCAAAAGCACTCCAAGAGCTTCGGGGGAGTGGGCACTCCGTCACCCCAATTAAATATCCTGCCGGCTCACTCAGAGCGTGAAGCATTAATGAGGAGGAGGGGGGCTACCACGGCTTCAATTCCCCCCTGCCCCATTACCTGCTGGACTTTGATCCTAATGACACGGAGCAGGGGCAAAGGGGAGAAATGAAGGAGCTCTAATTTTTATATGCTTCAAATTTATGGGATTTCACATAAAGGCTGTTGCGGGTATATTTTAAGAACGTGCTAAAATGTAGTCCGAGACCACATCAAGCCTTCGGAGGAGCGCCCTCGCCAGAACAAGCAAGCGCACAGATGGAAACACTTGGGGCCGCCTTTGTGCCTTTAATGAATCAAATCTAGCATTAATATTGTTTTAAATACGAACATGCTATTTCAATTCGGCTCGGAGCGGGCTGCAGCCACAGCCATGGGGACCCGGGGAGGCAGCTGGCCAGGAAAAACAGCGCAGTCGCCGTTCTATGGTCGGAGCTGTGCTGGGCTCAAGCATCAGGGTGTGCTTTTTTGGGGGGGGAGCACCAACATGAGAAGGCTCGCTGGTTCCTTTCTGTCCGTGGCCAGGCCTGGGAGTCCAGGAGGGGCCGCTGCCGGAAGCCAGGCCCAGGAACAGGGAGGTCACCGGCTCGCAGGACTATTGCTGGGGCGACAACGGGGGGGGGGGGGGGGGGGGGGGCCCGCGCCCCGGGGGGGGGGGGGGGGGGGGGGGGGGGGGGGGGGGGCGTGTGCCAGCCCGCCCCGCGGGAGCAGGAAAGGCCAGCTGTGATGGCAGCATCGCTCCCACCACCGTCCCAAGCGGCACGGGGCCTTGGTCACACACCTGGGGCTCCCCCAAGCCAGTGTCTCTCGGGACAGCCTGGGGGGACAAATCACATCATCCCTGGCCAGCAGGGCCCGCCTGCCTGCAGCCTGGCGAGGAGGAGCGTCACGGCCCAGCGCGGCAGGTCAGGGACGGCCGTGCCGCCGCCCTCCTGCTGTCACTGCAAGGCATGCGCAGCAGCCGTGGCAGCTGGAACTGAACTCAGGTCGCCTGGCTGGAGGATCATGGGAGCTGGAGTGCCACACGTCTGGAAGGGAAGGCTGGACTGCACTGTGCCCCATGGGGCGACCATGCGGGAGCCCTGCAGCCCACCAGGAGCACCTTCGCCGGAGAGACGCGCGCGGCATGAGACGGCCAACCCCGCCACGCTCGGTGCGAGCAGCGCAAGTGTGACGGCCGGGGCTCTGGGCAGATGGCGCACGCACGCCAGGAGGAGAGGCGGGGGAGGCCGGCCTCCGCGGCCCGGCGGCCCCTCGCCGCCGCTTAAGCGGATCCGTCCCGACACAGCGCCTGCGGGTTCCGCGCAGGTATTCGATGAATCATTTCCAGCGCGCGCACAGGTGCAAGCAGGCCTCGAGCAAACATACCAATCCGGTTAGGTATGCGTGTCCCCCGTGCCAGGTATACTTTTTAAAGGCACACATCTGGGCGACAGCTGGGCGAGCCGCAACGGCACGGGGCGGCCGGCGGTCCCGGGAGAACAAAGGGCGGATTCAGGCACGGGGCGCTGGGTGGACAGCCCAGCCGGGCCCAGCCCCCCCTCCCACGCCAGCCCGGTGGCCACGGGGCAGGAGGCCGGGCGGGTGCTCCAAAGCCTTCCCTTCCCCTCGGCTCTTCCGGACGCCTCTTTGTGCAGGCAGGCCAGGGCGGGTTGAGGCTCTGGGGCACGTGTGGGAAGAGGAAGGGGGGCTTCCGTGAGAGGCGCATGGGTGCCTCCGGGCACTCCCGGGCAGGTCTCCCGGCCCCCAGGGGCCAGCAGACCAGAAGCCGCTGCCCCTTGCCTCCTTCCCCGACGAGGAAAGGTGACGGCGACGGGACTGCGCAAGCACACCGCAGAGGCGCACGGCATCCGTGCGAGGCGAAGGGCGGGAGGCGCTCTCCCGCAGCAGGTCCGGGCCAGAGCAGCTCTGCTCTGCACAAGCAGAAGTTTGCCAGCTGCTCATTCGCTCCGTTCCCGTCACTGATCAAAAGCAGACCAAGACAATAGGAGCGTCCAGGTCTCACATTACAATACACAAGGAATGGATAAAAAAGCTAGTCCTTGAAACAAAATCGGAGGAGAGAGAGAAGCCCCTTTCTTTTATGAGGGAAACCAGTTTCTGCCAGACTGCCCGTCACGCTTCGCCATCCCGAATATACTTGGGAAACGCGGACGGATCGATCAGTCCCTCCGCCGGCGAGGCGGCATGGAGGGCCGTCTGAGAAGCCTCCTTTCAAAACTGTTGCATGTGATTAGAGGCCACAATTAGGTCTGTCTTCCCGCAGCCCCCTCCCCGCAGCCCCCACCAGAGGCCAGGGAATGCCAGGCAGGTAACTGGGGCGGCCTCTCCTCAAAACTCTAGTGCCAGGGTGGAAACTTTAGGTGGCCAAAACTCCATCGGAAGACAGACCACGAGTGGCGTCAAAGGAGGCGAAGGGTCCCCGGGGCATCCCACCTGCACTGCAGCGGGGGCAGAGAGCCTCTTGCAGCCCCAGGGCCGAATCCCACGCTGAAGAAGTCTGGAGCGGGCGGCATCCTGCAGCCGACTGGTCCAAACGGAAAAGGCCAGGCCAAGACAGGAGGTAAAACGGGGATGCAACCAGCATATTGCCTCCAAGGAACACCGGGCACGAAAGAACATGCTGCCTAGTGGCCCCCACGAGGAGGGGGACCACCAAATCTCCAGCAGGAGGGACCAAAGCGGCCTCTTTCTGCCGGGCACCTGTGTTGGGACTACCATGACCACGATCCCCAGCAAGCCACAGGAACTGGAGCCCGACACAGCTGGAGGGCGACACACTGGGAGAGGTTGCCCCAGTGCCTTGACCCAGGGAAGGCTTCCTTTCTCGTGGCTGCCGGTCTCGGATCGGCACCACGAGCCAGTTCACCAGCCAAATACCCCACGAAGCCACGATTCTGCCCGAGGCCCACAGAGTTGGATCGCTTGCTGCTTCGCACAGCTGTTCTTAGAAGCTGGCTTTTTAATTAAAAACATAGTTGCTGTTACTTTGCTGTACCTCTGCTTTAATTCCCTTTTTGGCCTCTTTAGGGTGATCTGGATATTCCAGGATAGATGGCAGAGAGAACTGTTTGGTGGACTGATCAGATCTGTAGTTTCTCAACATTGCTTGCTAATTTTTTTTTAGCTGAATGGCTTTGTTTTACAGGAACAATGGCTTCTTTTGTAGTTCAGCCAGCAAATGGGGTGTGTTAGGGCTGACCCGTCTTCCGTGAGACCCAGCTCCAACGCCTTCTCCAAAACCGAATGTGGCCCTCAAGCTAAGACAAGAACCCCCCCCCCCCCCGCCCTTGTTTTGAATGCTTCTGGGGAGCAGAAAGGTGGTTTAGGCTACAATCCTAGGCGGGCTTAGGCAGTGAATCCGCTGTAGCGCCCAGTATGACAGGCAGTCCGCTGACTGCACTAAACCAGCCACTGGCCTGACAAGGCAAATTTTTGGCTGCTCCGGACACGCTCCGGCTGCTCCTGCCCAGCCAAGCGCTCCCAGGCTACGGCAAGGGCTGAGGCAGCCTTCCCTTCTGGGGGAATCCCTTTGGGGAGCAGCAGAGCAAGGCAGGCTGCAGAGCTCAATTCAGGTTCAGGACGGCGGTATCTCGCACTGAGCAAGCAGCCAGTGATCCCTGGTCAACACCTGGGTGCGGTGCACCCCCAAGAAGCACCCCCCACCGTCCGTGACGGACAGCATGCCTCCGGAGGAGCCCCGCTTCCGGCAAGCACCCCACAAGCTCTGGGCCTCGCCACAGCACCCACGGGATTAGCAGCTTAGGGGAAGGCAGGGACGGGGCCTCCTGGAGTTGCCATTCACGTGCACCTCCCCTCTCCAGACCTCGGGAGGGGTCGCGCCCTGCTTCCCCCCCCCCCACGTCCCTTTCGTGGTTGCTCCGAGTAGCATGCCTGCTACCCGCCGCCCCCTGGCATAAACAGAAAGGCACACGGAACTATTTTGGGGGAGCCCCTTCCAACGCAGCTTGCCAACACATTCTCCAGAAAAATAAAACTGCCTCGACAGGATGTTTAGATTTTGCAGCCGCTGGGCGGCTAGGACGCAGGCAGACACACCGCACCTGTTCTGCAGGGAACTGCCAGGGCTGCCTGTAAGAAGGTGCCTGCTACACACACACACAGCTGTGCGTGTGCGATGCTGGGTGGGCACTGCTGCCGGGGGCACGATGCATCCACAGCAGCAGGCCCTTGCGAGAAAAGGAAGGGGTGCCGGGGGGGGGGCAGCGCAGGGATCGCTGGCTCCATGCGCCACTGCCCATGAACAAAAAAGGCTTTTTGGGGGGCATGGGGGTGAAACAGATGCATCTGTGTGAGTACCGTTTTCGCAAAAAGCAGCATGGGCTTCGGAAACAAGCAAATCCGACAGCAGAGTCACGATGTTTCAGCTCACACGTCGCTTTGGGAACTGGGAACTCGGCAAGGCCTCGTTAAGGTGGGAATATCCACCGAGGCTTCACCGCTATCCTGTGCCAGCCGAGCGAGCCCTTCTCCGAGTGAAGGATGAGGGCATCGGCCCGGCAAAGACAGGAGGGGGGGCCTTCCTCTGAGGCCCCCGAAGACAGCCGGCTCTATTGGCTCGGCTCAGCGACCGGCACTGCGGCGGGAAATGCATTTCGACGGGAGAATGGGACAAGCGGCTCAAGTGTGGGAAAGCCTTCGGAAAACCCTGCATGCCCGGCCTTCCGAGGAAGCATCCTCGGCCAACGAGGGCTGCCTGACAGAGAGGAAACGGCCTTAAATCAAGGCTGCCGAGGCACATGGCTTGTTGTTCTAAGACATTCCTAACCAGGGGCAGCAGGTTGCTCCTTGTAACTTAGAGCAGGCTTAAGTGCCGGCCAGGCCTGCCTGCAATGCCGTAACCGGGGCGAGCGAAGAAGAGTGCAGAAGGGTGTTTTAGGAGAGATCAAAAACTGATTCCCCCAGGTAAAAGACCCTCCTCGTTCTGTAAGAACACGCTGCAAAAACAGAGGCGCCAGCAAACAGGGGTTGGGAAAGAGCTACGTCTCGCCGTTACAGAAGTCGGCGACTGCCCAGCTGTTTCTGTTTCAGCTCCCAGAAGCCTTTGCCAGCCCGGCCAAGGCTCAGCAAAGTTGGGAGTTGAAGTCCGGCAAGTCCGGCGCTCTCGGGCCTCAACTGCCTTCTTCAAGGAAGGAAGTGGATCCCCCTTGCCCAGAGGATGTGTCCCCAGAGCCCCCGCCCGCCCAGACAAGCCACAAGAACGGGGGACGTACAAGTCTCTGTACTGGTCGAAGGCGTTGTTCGCTTCCACCTCCAGCTTGCGCAGACGGGCGGATGGCATGGCGCCATCTTCCAGGGGCGGGTCGTACTTGTTGCTCCACGGCGACCTGCAGGCAAGCGACAGAGAGGGGAAAGTGATCCACACGCAGCGTTGCTGGCAGAGCAAACGTTACCTGCGGGAAAGCGGACAGCGAGGGAAGAGGCCCCTGCCCGGGACACTGGCAGTGGAGGAAGGGCTGCAGACGTGGCGGGCCGGGGTGGCGGAACAGGCCGTGCGACTGCAGGATGGGGGGGCTGCAGATTTCTCAAAGTTTCTCTCTAGCAGAAAAACTTCCTTTTTAAAAAAGAAAAAGAAAAAAAAACTGGGCAGCTGCAGAGGGGTAAATTAGAACCTCTCCTCCTGGTGACGTAAAAACCTACAGGGACTTTGCTGTGCATGAGAGCATTAAAAAGCCCAAATCCAAGCCTAAGACCGTTCACCCAGACGCACACCCCACCTGCAGCAGAACAATCCGCTGCATTCCTGCCCCTCATTCCAGCATCCCTGCTGGGAACGCGCCCCACCTGGAAACCAGGCTTTTTGAGCAGTAACACCCGGCTCCGGAACGCCGTATGATTTGGGAAGCAGAAAATGCGACATGTTTCATATGCGCCCACTCAGCCAAGCTTCCCTGGCCTGAAACGGTTCTCAGGCTGCTATTCCACCCAGATCGTTTTTATTTTGCAGTGTTTGTTTGCTCACTCTTTCCTTTTGTTCCGTTTGTTTACTGTTGTTTGTTAACTAAGATTTTTAAAGAGTAGCATATAAGCCAGTTAGACCTGCAGTTACATCTAGAAATCTAAAAGCATCTCAAAGCAAAGCATAGCGCCACCGAATACTGAACACGGGGAAGGGCTGATCTGAACTCAGGAAAAGCCTGACACGGGTGGATCCGAGAGCAAAGCTGCTCGCCATTTCAAATCTTCCCCAGGTAGCTGGGGAAGAGCCGCTTCTGGCAGCGCCAGCTCCCACTGTACAGGATTTCCACGCAGGTGTGGCAGCGGCAATTTTTCAGCCACCCAGTCTAGGCAATTTTAGGATAGGATCTCTTTTCAGACGGACGGCCTGTATCCACCTGGATCTCCTTCCTGAACACTGCCAGCAATGTGGGTTTTCACAGTTCTTTTTCATCGGCTGTTTTATTATTTCTTGCCGTTTATACTGCTTTTGGACAGGCTGTCCTGAGGCTGCGGCACCCAAAGCAAATTAAAATGGGCCTTCCTAAACAGGGCCACACCGGCAAGAAGCTCCTGCCAATTTGCGGTCTGGCATGGCGATGGGCCAGCCAAATGGGAAGCCCCACCGGGTCGGGTCCCGCCTTGCAGGTCAGGTGCAACAAGGGGGGCTGGCCCCAGGAGCACGCCTTGCTTGGCTGGATCGTACGGGGAGGCAGTCTGCTGCGAAGGCGTGTGAATGCAGACACAGGCGGGCTGCACAAGATGGCGGCCACGTGCCTCTCCTCCTTTCGAGCGTGCCGTGCTGCCGATGTCGCATTCTTGCACATACTTGGGGAAGGTTAGTGCCTGTGTGACATTTTTCGGACGTCTCTGGAAACAGACCCATGTGTGGCCCAAAGCACAGTGGAGCTATTCGGTCGTGCGAAACAAAACATCCCTTTCGCTGCTTTTCCCCACACGGGTTTGGCCCGCAGCTCGGGGCAGGGCCGCAGGGAGCAGGGACCTGGGTACGAGGCTCCGCTCAGCCATGCGACTCAGCGGATGGCTCTGGTCCCATCACGCACTCCTGGCCTAGACGACCTCGCAGGGCCATGGTGCAGGTGGAGGGGAAGAGCGTGTGAGCTTGCGAGAGGAAAAAGGGTGAGAGACACGCAAAATCATTATACTCTCCCATCAGCCCTAGCCATCGTGCTCAGTAAGGATGACGGGATTTGTATGCCAAGGTGGCCCAGCCCTGAAGTTTGCAGATTCATCTGAAGGACAGCAATAAAAACACCAAGGAGAAAATGCAGCAAGGGGGCCTCCTCTGCCTGAGACTATTCTGGGGTGCGACTCGAGCTTTCCCCGTGCAATTTAAAAACACCCGACCTCTCGAGCAGGGAGCCGCTGAGCAAGTGTTCACGATTTCACCTCCGTCCTCTTTAACAAGGGGGGCTTGATTTAATTACAGCAAGCACATCTCCTCGGCAGCACGCAGGGAATGGAATTTCAGAGCGACACGTCCGCAGCTTAGCACTCTTCCGGCAGGGGAACGTGCGCGTTCCTACCTTCCCCCGTTGCCCCCCAAAATAGAGAGTGCCGGGGCAGGGGGGAAAAGAAGACTGGCTGTGGCAGTAATCTTATCCCTAAGAAATTCATAACATTACCCCCTAAAACACATTTAAGGGCTTAGGCGGGAGGCAGTCTGAGACAGAGAGAGACGGGCGAGCCCTGCTTGGGTCGAGGGAGCCACGGCCCTCCGCCTCTGCCGGCACCAGCGGGCCATTCCGGGAGCCAGCGCCCGGCTTTCAAGCCGGGCTGCTGGTGCCAGTCTCAGCCCGGACAGATCCGTTTCAGACAGCACCAAGGCTGGGACTGTGCACGGAGAGCTGCGGGGAGGAGGGGTCATGCGGAATGTGGCTCTCTGGGTGTCTCAGCCCGAGATCTCCCAGGCATGTGCATCAACCGGGGTGCTCAAGCTGACGGCCAGGGCAGAGGGGCATTGCAGCTGGGTTCCTCGCTTCAGCGCCCGCTTAGTCTGGCCTCCCCAACCTTGTGCGCTCCACTCTCTTGGACTACAAACCCGCCACCTGCGTTTAGGGCTCAGGCAAGCGGGACCAGGCCTCGGCCGTTACGGCACAATGGAGCTGCCATACCAAGGGAGGATCCCACCCTGTTGGTCCAAAGGAGAAAGAGGGCAAGTGAAGCTGGAGCCGGGGGACACTGCTTTGCATCAGCTAGCAACCCAGCTCCCCCACCCCTCAATTTTTTAAAAACCCCTTTAAATGTAATCATCTTTAAGATTAGATCAGCAAACACAGGGGGCTTGGCGGGCATCGAGAGAGGTGGCTGAGAGCCATTTCCTTACAGGAGCCCGCAGGGAAATGAATGCGGCGCAGAGCACGGAGCTCCCGTGCGCAAAGGAGACGCGCCATCACCTGTACGAGTCTCCATCTCTATTGTAGTCGCACAGTAAATAGTCCTTCCCCACCACCTTGTCGCGGGCGATCTTCAGAGGCTGGTCAACAGAGGACAGGAGATCTTCACAGAGGCTTGGGACCTGGGGAGAGGCAGGGGGAGAGGGGTGAAAATGGGATCCACACGAGGCAGACGCTTCAGTGCTCTCCTGGCACGTGTGGCCCAGCTGGTGTCGCAGGTGTGCTGGACTTGGCCGGCATGACAGGCATCCCTGTCCAACACATCTGGGCAGCATCAGACTGGGCAAGGATGCATTATGTGTCAAACCCACTTGAAAGAACACACAGCAGCCCCCAAATAATCAGAGGTCTCAAAGGCCCAAGACAGAGACGGGGAGGGCTGGAAGGACGAAGAGACCACAGTGCAGTGGCAGAGTCCTTGATTCACATGGAGAAGGCTTCAGGTTCAATCCCCGACATCTCCAGGTAAAAGAAATATAGGATTACTGATAGGTTATTCCTTCACTGATTCATTGAAAAAAATGCAGGATTACTGATAGGTTATTCCTTCATTGATTGGTCGAAAAAAATGCAGGATTACTGATTGGTTATTCCTTCACTGATTGGCTACACTTTTAGGGAAGAGGAAGCGCTGCTGCCAGGGTGAATCGCTTTCCACAGGCAAAAAGGTCCTACCCCAGTGGACTTTTGCCCTCGTCGCTCTCCGCCTAATTTCTGACAGCAGGGCACCCTGAGAAAGAGTGTGGAAGGCCATCTCCCTGTTCCACTTGCACGGCGAGGACATCTATGGTATATTTTTGCCAACTCTTTCTGCCCCCTGCACCCCATTTTTAAGGCACTTTGCTGGAGCATGTGCAGGCACCAATGCACACGCACAGGGATCCAAACATACATGGGCCTCGTTATCGTGGCCACTCGTGTGGTCTCATAAAGCTAAACACACGCATGGAGGCGTGTGTGTGTGTGTGTGTGTGTGTGTGTGTGTGACAGTGTTCATTTCTTGCCAAACCAAGGGCTGTAAAAAAAATTGCGGGGGGGGGGGCTTTTTAAAAAAAGTAAATATTTATAATGGAGTGGAAATCCAAGAGCTGCTAAGAGAATAAGCTACCCATGAACAGCAGCTTCAGTTTTTCCACTAGCTCATGCACTGGGTGGAGTTTAATATACTTTCCAGGCAGCCTGCCAAACATTACCATGCGAGTTTAACTTGCGGTGGGGGAAATACACTTACCTGACACGTGTCATTTTTGTTTTTGTTTGGTTTTTCTTTTTTCTTTTTTAATGAGGCACAGACACACTGCTGCACAAATCTGGCCATAAAAAGATAAGAGCCCACAAGGCACCAGCCCACAGAAAACGTAGGCTCACCACCACGAGCTCAGCTATGGCATTGGACTGCATTTGCCCACATCCCCAGCCAGCCAACGCACCTGGCAGGCACAGGAAGACCAGGTAGCGGGTGTGGGGAGTGCCCTTCTCCTCCAGACCCACAGAGCCGCAGACAGTAACAGGACAGAGGATACACGCTCCACCTGTGCATCATCCAGAAGCCGGGACCGGCTTTCACCTGAAAATTCTGGCTTCACAGGTGGGGAGGGGCACCACCAAGCCATCCCAGGAGAGCGCACTCGAGCACGCTTCCCATGGGCCCCGGAACACCCTTCTATTTCCCAGGGCTTCTGAGGCCTTCAGCTGCCGGGGCTTAAGGGCCCTCTGCTACGGACATTCAGACGGGGCGGGGGGGATGCAACACTTCCCAGCATGACTCGGCCAGCCGGAGCAGCACAGTGCATCGAGTCGAACAGGATTATTCTGCTGCACTGCTTAGCAGCTTGACTCCAGCCCCGGCTCAAGGTGCTTCCCAGAAGGGGCCAGGCGTTTTCCAGGGAGGACTCTCAGCCAGACTCAACTACTTTCAGGGGAGGCCATCCAGCCCAGGACCAACAAGGGGCCCTCTCCCGGCCCCACCTGGAGATGCTGGGGACCCTTCCGCATGTAGAGCAGGGCTCTGCCCTTGAACCACGGGCCCTCCTCCTCCTCCCCCGCAAGCTTTTTCCTTTATTTTAATATCTACCCAGCGAGGTCCCTTTCCAGGTGCCAGTCTCCCAGGGAGCAACGCTCTGTGCTGGCCCCTCAGCTCTGGAATTCTCCTTTCTTCCAAATCCTTCTGAACAGTAACACAGCCTCAGAGGTCTAAAATCATGCAGATACATGTGTGCACCGTTTATTTCTCTGTTTGTGTGCAAATGGTCTTTATTATGCATACTGTATTTTTATTGCTTTTAATCTATGTGAGCTGCCTTAAGAGCTTTGGCTAATGGGTGGTTTAGACACATAATAAATGAAATTACATTTCCAATTTCCTATTTAAGGCTCATTCTCGTTTCAAGCAATGGGGGGTGTTATATACACACACATGCAGGTCTCTTACACACGGTGCCTTGTGAACCAGGCCAATGAGACCCCCAGCTTGGGCGAGGGTTGTTTCACGCAAGCACCCAGACCACCCCGAAATAAGGCCCTAGTCTCCGAAAGCTCAGACTTTTTGTTCCCGCCAAACAAGAAATGAATGAGTGCGCCACTGGGAATTGGGTTGCAAAGGAGCAGCAACGTTCCGAAGGGGCCGAGAGATCAGCCCCAGACAAAGAGGAAGACAAATTGAAAGAACAAGACCACCGTATTAACGGCAGATGTTGAACAAGGATTCTGTTGTCCTTCTGAAATACTAATCTGGCTGGAGTTAGTGAACCAGGTACTGGAACAAAGTTTTAATTAAAAATAAGCCATCTCTCCAACCTGAGGGACAAGCGGACACCTGTGCATGGGCAGAAACCCAACACCTTCCAGAGCTGCTGGCCAAGCTCTTGCTTCCTGCTCAGAAGCCCAGATGCCAAGAGACGAAGTCAATATTCAAAAAGGAATCCCGAGATGGATGTGTGTGAGATAAGGTCTTCGGGGTTGGAGCTGGCATGGGAACGCTCCGGATCGCCAGCCTCCTGAACTTCTCCTTTAGAGAAGCCCATTTCCACTGGGGCGGGGAGGAAAAGGAAGCAGGAGTCTGGCATTTGGGCCCTTCTCTCCATTCCAAAGTGTGTGCGTTTCTGTGCGTGCTTCTGTTTCAATAGCAGAGAGCCCAGAAAAGGCGCACCAGGAATTAATGTTTCTGCAAGCCACTGGAGAGGACTCAGCGAGGGCCCGTCGTTCAGAGTTACGATCAGTCAAGTGCTGCTCACCACCTGGATAGCTTCGGCTACTGGGCAATACAGAAATTAAACAGAGTTGTATGTTCCTTATACAACCTGCTCACAAGGCTTTGAGCTGGCCGAATTATCAAAGTCAGCTCCTCTATACAGAAGTTGGTGCCAACACTGCATCACACCCAATCAAAAGTTGCCCAAAAGAGCCGGGGAGCGTTACAAAAAGTATTACACACGGACTCCATTCACGAGTCATTGTGGCAAATCATGGGTTATTTCCCATAAACAACCTCCAGTTGGCATGATCAAAGATTGTCAGTGCAATGTCTGAACCCAGACCACTGGGTTGTTTAATTAACCCATGGTGCATTGTTGGGTTAATCCTGGGTTGTTATGCCTCTCACAAATCATGGTGACAACCTCCAATTGTGCTGATCAGAGGTTGTTTACATTAAATGGAAGCAACGCATGCAAGGGGAACATCCCAGTGGGTTAAACAGCCCACAATCTGCAGCCATTGTATTCAGACTGCCCCAAAGGTTTCCACTCTCAAGGTAAGCACAAGGCAGAAGAGGGAAAAGGAGACGGAAAGGGAGAAATCTGAATAGATGGGAAGACTTTCTATCACAAGACTAACAAACATGCACATGGATTTCAGTGTTTCTTCCTTCCATTATACAAACCTCAATGCAAGTACTTATGTTTAATTTTCTCTAATATATACTGGGGGATTTTTGAATGAGAAATCGACATCACAAAATCTGGAGGAGTACAAAGACGAGCATTTGGCTGCATTCCACTTTGCCTCCTGATTTCAAAAAGTGCAGATTAGAGGACTGCACATTACATGTGTCAAATGGGTTTCTCGGCCCACCCCCAGGCACACGGGTGGCTGGGAGGGCACTCCCTGCCCCCTGCACCAGGGCCTGGGTGACCCTGGGAGGGACCCCACAAAGATGTGGCACACCCCAGTCCTGTGGAACTCCTGCAAGATGCAAGCCCTCCATAACCCACCTTGCACCCAGGTCTGCCAGAATGGCAAGTTCTGAAGCAGGCAAGCATCCGAGGCAGGAGCACAGGCGTGTGAATGCGGCCCAGATGGCCCCCTCCCCTCCAACTCCGGTGCACCCCCCTCCCCGATCCTGAAAAGCGGGAGACCTTCTTGAAGGCTCAGCTACTGGCAGTCAGAGATTGACGCCAGAACAGGAGGGAGTGCCTCCGGCCACCACGGAAGGCTCCTCTGCAGCCCAGCCGACTGCTGACGCCCCCAGACCTCCTTCCCCCGTCCCTCCCAGAACCAGCCCCTGCAAAGGTCCCCCCAGCGCCCTCTCCTTCCTCTGGACGTGTCTCCAGTTCATCCCGACCTGCCTCACCCTTGGCCAGCCCTGAACTGCTTCCTCCACCATTCCCCGTCTCAACGATCTATTTATTTGGAATCTGGATGCTCAAGATCTTGCATACCAAGCAGCCGGTGTTGTTTTAAGGGGCCGAACGCTGACCGAGGAGAGAAGACCTAGAGCCGAATCCCCAGGCTGCTCTGGTTTGAGCTCAGAACGGTCAGCAACCAACCTTACAGGGTTCTTGTGAGGATAAGCGGGGCGGGGGGTAAAAAGGAAGCCAGTTCAGCCTGCAACTCACAGCTCAGCAAGTCCGCGATTCAAGCAAGCTGTGAACTTCCCGGGCGGGGGCTGCCATTCCTCTGCTGTGAAGAGGATGTGGCTTTTCTGCTGCGTTCAGCACTCCTGTTCCAAGCACTGCAGTCCGCAAGCAAACACTGGCAGTTTCGCCACCTGGAGCAAAGAATTCCAGCTTCTTCATTCCGAATTTCAAGGAAGGGGGTTTGGATTTCTGGTGCAGGCACGTCCATGCAGGCACGGTTCTGGGAACGGGATGCCGAAGGCTCCACAGCAGGGAACCGCTGTCGGGCAAGAGGGGTGCCGCCCAGGAGTGGCCGGGAGGCCAAATGGCCAGAGCAGAGAGCGATGTGGCGGCACTGCACGGGGCACCCTTGCTCCACGCTGCAGTCAACTCGGGGCAGGAAAGCCACTGGGCGATTTCGCTGCTCCTCTAGTGGCCTTTCGGAGGCTCTGAAGCTCAGGTTCTCCTTTAGGTGCTCGTGGGCCTGATGTCACCGTAACATGAGCGAACAATGGCAGTTGGTCAAGGCCAGGGCCGGGAGGCGCTTGGGGCTCAGGCCAGCGCGAGAAGCCAGCGCTTCCACGAGTCGGCCCAGCATCCACCCACCCAGCTGATGCTGGACTTCTGCCGCGCCGGGCCCGCTTCTAATAACGTGCCATTATAATTCCACTGAGTCATCTGACAAGCGTTTAAAAGTTTCCTCTCCCGGCAGGGAAAAACAGGCCCAGCCTAACGGATGTTGTGCAGACGATGCAAACCTCGGGGCTGCGGACGCGCACGCTCTGCTGGGATGGGCCACGGCTCAGGAGTCCTCAGATGCAGCCCTCCGAGGCACCGGCTTCTCCTGCTCTCAGTCTTACCCTCACAACAACAGCCCTGTGAGGTAGCTTGGGCGTCTGTGAGCGGCCCAAAGTCACCCAGTGCACTCCACGGCTGAGTGGGGCCCAGAACCCGGATCTCTGGAGTCCTGGTCCTGCGCTCTTAACCACACCGGCTCTTGGTAAAATGAAACAAGGATTTGACTTGTGGGGCGCTCTTGGGCCCCAGGTGGAAAATGAAATAATATAAAAACCAGCTTGGTCTTCCACACGGCAAACAGGACACATTCCATACCTCTCTCAGAGTCAGGATCTGCCACTAGGCACACCGATCACGGATTAGGATGCTGGGTTTACACTGTCCTTAGACTGCGCTCAGGGACAGGTCTAAAAAAGTTTTAAATAAATAAAAAAGGCACAAGCCACCCAGGCTGTCTTTACTGGCCTTCTTAGAGAGCTCGGACTGTGAGAAGCGAGTCCGCAGGGCTTCACCCACCTCTGCCCAGCCTGGCGGGGCCGACACCTTTCGGGATCCGGGCTCCGGGTGGAGCCCTTCTCCAAGTACGCACTGACATACGTGGCCATGGCTGACGGTCAGGAATGCTGCTGCTGCCATCCAAACCATCTGGAGAACATCACGCGAGGGAGAGCTGTCCCAGGCAGAGTTTCTGCCCCCTCTACCCAGGGCTGCACAAGCATTATGGGATGGAAATCCCATATGGTGCTGCAGAAGACAACCAACCCTCCACCCTCCAATTAGCACAAGCGGCAGAACGGGGAGATGAGGACACGGCTGTTCGCACCCTCCCACGGGCCGCCAGCGTGCCAATGTGTCATCACCAAGACGCCCCGCTAGCGTGGATCGGGACCCGAGCACGGCTGCCGACTGGCGGATCCATGCCGACTCGAGGCGGCCTTGATCCGAGGTTCCTGCCAGGTTAGGGAAGGCTGACTTCCGCTTCTAGGACACGAAGGTACGCCAAGAACTCGCGGTGCCCCGTGGTTGGAGTCTTAGATGGGGAAGGTGTGGGTTCTAGCCCCCTCACTCAGCCGTGGAGCTCACTGGGAGCCCTCGGGCCGGACACTCTCAGCCTAGCCTACCTCGCAGAATATGGAGAAGGCTATGAATACAACAGACAGGTAAGAACCAATTCCCACCTGACGGAGAAGCGCCCTGGCCCCAGCTTTGGGCTGGGAATCAGCCATCTGCACAGGCACCGGCCAGGAGAACGGTAGTCCATGGAATCTGGGCTCAGGAGCCACAATGAGGGTGGGGTGGGGGGGGGTGCCCACAGTGGCCCGGCTCTGCCTCAACACACAGGAAACCACGGGTGGCTGCAGGCTAAGGGGCACGGGTGGCTCTGAACCACCCAGGAATGGACCAGCGACGTACGAACTGGGCCACTGTACAAGGGCACGCAGAGGCCCGCGAAGGGGTCTGGCGCATCCTTGCCTTTTCAGAGGGGGCCAGAACCACCACCCGCTCGGCAGCCGGCACCGGATGCTTCCAGGCTCACCAGCTCACGTTTAATAGCAAAAGCACTGAAATCTGCCATTGCTCCCGGAAAGGCAGGTGCCGAAAAACAGAGCCAACACTCTGGGATGCAGAGGAGCAGTTTTTACAAGGTACCGTGAGAAGCCTGCTAAGGGAAGTCACCGAGCCGTGGTGTTTTCAGACCCTCCCTGGCTGCCGGCGTCTTCTCATCTGGGGGTTCTCTTTAAAGAGGTCTTAAAACGAGTTCCGAAGGCCTCGACGGTAATCTTTTGTAAGCTGAGGACATTTCCATTTACAGCCACGCTTGCTGAGTGGAAAACTGACTCACGCCGAGGGGCACAGCCTCGACTGTGCCAAGCCCCCTGTTTCGGCCAGTAATTCTCCATCAGGAGCCTCAGCAGCTGCTTGTGGCATTAAGGAAAGCGTCGTGCCCGACACGCTCAACATCTCTTGGAAAGAACGCCAAGTTCACAGAGACCACCCTGGTGAGCGTGTGCGCGCGAGTGTGTGTGTGTGTGGGGGGGCTCTTCCCTTCACGGTGTTCCATCAAGCCAGGCAGGACAAAAGGCCATTCCATGGGCATGCTCAGAAGCCCCTGCGTTTGCTCTGCCCACCCCAAGGCACCAGACCTTCACAGGAACATTAAGGAGACCATCCCAAACTGGCACGCCTGAACAGCTACGGGTGGCACAGACTGGCGGTGGTGGCCCGCTGGGGTTTCAGGCAGGGGTTTTCCCACCCTCCCTGCTGGGACCCAGGTGGGGACCGCCTGCTGCCCAGCAGGGGCTCTGTGGCTGAGCCGTGGGCCCCCGGCCTGACCAGGGGTGAGCAGGCGCAGGCATCTGCTCGCCCCCAGCCCAGGACGGAGGGCTTGTGCTGCCTGCGATTCCCCGGGCACACAGAGCGCAGCCTTGGCGTGTGGGATCCAGTTGCACGGGTCGCCTCAAGACTCTGCACACAAGATGGATTCCCAGGCACCTCTGGGGCTCCAGTAGGCGAGACACATGGACAGTGGCTGTTAGAACTGCAGCAGGCATGGCAGGGGAGTGGGCTATGAACTGTGAGTTGTTTAAACCATGGGTTGCCATTACATGTGTACCCAGAATTGTGGGTTGTTCTGCCAGGTTAGTGGGACAGCAAGCCAGAGCGTTCAAAAGAACCCAGCAGCCAGCCCAATATGCCGATTAAGTGGGCAGAGGAGGGAAACAAACAAACCCAAGAACTGAGAAAACAAGCTGCAGTTCGTGTGATCATCTGCCAGAAAACAAGACCCCCCCCCCAAAAAAAAGCCAGGGTAGGGCAATAAACCATGGATTAAATAAACCATGGGTTAGCATTATCTGCAAATCAGATCACATCCAAACTCTACAAAATTATATTCCCATGTATATCTTCTAGTTGAAGAAAACGCTATAGTCAACCACACCAGGGCTTCATTCGCACAGGCTGAAAGTTTTACTGGCAGAAAGTGTTCTGAGCCGGTCAATTATCCCCCAGACTAGCGACTCTCGCCCTGCCTGCACCCACGCCCGTCCCATGCAGCATTTCCTGTGACCCCCCTGTACGCGGGCTCTTCTCCAAGCTGCGCGTTTACCAGTGATTAGTCATTAGACTTCCCAGTCGAGCGCTCCATTACTGGCACCCGCAGCCCCACTGCTTTCAGGCTGGGCTTCGGGGAGGCCCCGTGACTGACAAGGGCTCTGATGAACTCTAATTACAGGCTCGACAGCCTGAGGAAGCAACAACAGATGTGGCGAGCAGGCCAGCCGCACGGCTCCGCTAATGAACCAGGGAGCGCTCGGCGGCTGATGAGGACCAGTGACCCAGAAAGGACCTCCACCCGCCTCCTTGCCGGGCCCTTTCACTGCATGTCCAAGCTGGGACAGTTCCCCTTCTGTCAGTGCGACCGCGGCGAGGAGGCCACCTCGCCCAGCTGGGCGGCCGCCGCGAGGGCCGCTGGGAACGATGCACAAAGCGGTGTCGAGACGTTCCCACTTCTGCTTCGGCAAGTTCAATCCCAGCTGCGGGAACTGCGGGCGGCAGGACAGGGGGAGGCGCTGCAGGCTAGCCGGACTCCCTGAGCTCCCATAACCCGGAGAGGCCCTCGCCTCGCTCCGTGCTCCTTACGAGGCAGATCCGGGACCTGAGGCCGGAGCAAGGACCCACCCGAGCGGATCCCCCCAGCTCTCTTTCTCAGCGGGGGGCCCTGCGTGGGCCTCGAGAAAAGCCGCCCCAGGCTCCCTTGCCTGGAAGTGCCCCTTCCTAGCAGGACCACATGCTGAGGGGCCTCCTTCCCAGCCCCACTGCCTGCACGCTTGTTACCAGAAGCAGCCGTGCCGGAGCCCCGGACCGCCCCCCATGAGGCCTTCTGCATCATCGGTCTTCTCCCGCTCAAACGCAAGCTGGCCCCGGCTTGGGGAAAGTCCCAGAGCACCCCCGAATTAGAGGAGGCAACCTTGGCAGGAGCCGGCCATGGAAAAGGAGCTGCGCCAGGATTTGCCGCTGGCCGGCGAGATCACCACAGAGCCCGCGGGAGGCAGCGACCGTGTGGGCAGCCCCGTGGGGCAATGCAGCCGACAGGCAAGGCTTCTTGACTGATCCGGTCACAACAATCCTGCAAATTCCTCAAGATTTATTGAAAGCCGGGGTGTTGGTGAGCTCCAGCTACCCTGCCCAGACTAATCCGGCAGCCTGGTAGGAGCCAGAGGGCAGGCCGTGCCCCCAAAGCCCTGCCCTCTCCACCAGAACAAGCACAGCCCGTACTCACCAAATCAATCAGGTCACTGAGGTTTTTCTCAATCTGTTGAGGAGGCAGACGCCTCATCAAATCCAAGGCACAATCTAGCTGCTGGTCGCTCTGAGGAAAAACAAGAGGAAAATACTTCAGGTTACTCACAAGGAACACCAGAGCAGTGCGGAAACACAGGCCAGGAACGGACGCCTAGTCTCCATTATTAGCCCAGGCCGGCTGTTTCCAAGTTCCGGATGCGTGAGTTCTCGGCATATCGTGCGTGGCCCTCTGGCTCTCCAAAAGGTATTGGGGACAGCGCTGGAAGGAGGACCGCTCCAATCTCAGAGGCTCCCAATGCCTGGCGCAGCTGCTGCTGACCGAGCAGAAGCGCCGGAGGGACAATTTTGCCTTCTCTGCCTTCCTCTTTTTCCCCCCTTTCTCCTCCAAATGGCCTCTGAAACAAACTAGAGATGGTGCGCTCCCAAGGGCAAGACGGGACAGGGAGCGGCTGGAGTGAGGAGACCACAGGATTCTTCCTCCACAGTTGTTGTCTGCCCGTTTTTACAAGTGTTCCGCTAAACTTTTCTACATAAGTAACGATTTAAATCGCACTAAGTGTGCTTTCGTTTCTCTCCTCAAATATTTCAGGTCAAATAGCAGTGGTGGATTGGAACAAATACTTAACCTGCGGTCCTTGCCTCCTTTAGCTTCATTTACTAAGCACGAATAAAATCAACATGCTAAATCATTCTCGAGGGCATTAGAACTTTTTGATCCAAACAAAAGGT